TGAATCACCTAACTTCTCAACTTCCATTTTAATGAGATCTAAGATAACTAAGCTGGCAAACTATTATAAGACAATAAAACAGATGGCCAAATAAGATGCTTGAGATAATAGAATTATACAACTAGTGAGTTCATTAATCACCTTTCAAAATATGGTAGGATGTAGAAAAGTTAGGGACAAACTCTTCAGCTGTTACTTGCAACATTTTATTGATTCTGAGTATAAGTTTCAGTCTTATCAATTTACTACAAGCAACGTTCAGTGATTAGTCAATCACAAAGTTTCATAATCTTCACAATTAATGTTATCCAACTCTCAGAGAGATGTTTCTGTGAAATCTGTACCTCTCGCTTCTGATGTGACCCTGGTTAAGTACACACTCAGCAGACTGCACGTGCTGGATGGTGCATACACTAAGACAGGTCCCTACATTCCTACATAGATTCTGCAGTCAGGGTGTCAGTGTCTTTGTCAAGAAAAGAAATGTGCTGCAGTTTCCAAAGAGATTTGGTTCATCAACTCCAGAGTCAATATGATACTAAACAAAAGAATCATTAGAAAAATAAATTGTACAACAAATACATAGACATGGGTGTGGTGGCACACACCTTTAATCCCAGCACTCAGGAGGCAGAGGCAGGCAGATCTCTATGAGATCAAGACCAGCCTGGTCTATATAGCAAGTTCCAGGCCAGGTGGGGCTCCAAGAGAGACTTTGTCTCAAAAAAGACCAAAACAAAACCAAAAAAGTAACTATTTAATAAATGTTGAGATATGTTTACAGGTTGGAAAACCTAATGCAGTTAGGCTAGCCATACTCTCCAAATTAACAGTCTGGCCAATCCCAATACCAATTCCAGGGGGCTTCTTTCTTTCCTTACAAAACTGACAAGCTAATTCATAAATGAAATTAATTTCAACTGCTACCTCACATCATACTAAAAAATTAATTCAAAATAGATCAAAGGCCCAATCACAAAGTTTGAAACTATAAACTTCTAGAAAAAAAGTTTTTGTGACTTCAGGTTAGGCAATGATCACCTCACAAAAGGCACTAAGTATAAATAAACTGGATAAATTACTCAACAGTGAGCCTCTGTCTTTAGAAGACACCTCCAAGAAAATGCCCTTCAGTTAAATGGACAAATTGTGAAATAACCATAAAAAAGTGTATTACTTAGGAGTCTAAAGTACTGTAAAAAATACAGTATCACAGATAATCAAATGATTACATTAGGGACAAATGCCAGACTCAACACATTATCCAATACATGACTCCATCTACAGGATATTTTACAAAAGGCAAAACCACGGGGCCAGGAAACAGATGAGGGGCCTCTAAGAGCACTGGGGAGAGAGTTGACAGAGAGTCATGAAGTCCTTGGGTGATGGACCAAATGGTTATTCACTGGTATACATATGTCCAAACCCTGAAACGTACACTAAAAAGCATTCTATTTAAGTAATTTTTAAATGGTATTTTTATTCTTTGAAAGTTTCATACACTTATGCAATGTGTACTGATAGTTTGGGTTTTTTAATGAAAAAAGAAAAGCAACTACAGCTACATTCAACATAAATGAATTCCACAGCGTTAGGGGCTAAACTGAAACAGGGAAAAAAGAGCAAACTGTAGACTGCGGACACGGGGCTGACCTCAAGGGTGCTGAGTGTGTAGTGGCAAGGAGCAGGCCAGACTGCTATCATATTTGCTCTGCTTCTTTCTCCGGTGATTACAGGAATATCTGCCTTGAAATAACCCACTTATTTCTATTTTATTTAAATACACTCTATACTATATCCTTTTATAGAATTCATATTTTGCATCCTTTCTATTTGTGTATTGGAGGCATGGTCTGTTTTAAAGTAATTCAAAGCAGTTCAGGGTAAATATGAATGAGTCAAAGAGTGTTTCAATTTCAGGAGTTTGAAGCATTCCAGGAGTTATCAACTGGCATTACTGTTTATTAGACATGTACCTATGGACAGGCTTCTCAACACTTCTCAGTCTGCTTACTCGTCTATAAAATGGTGAGATTACGCCTGCTTCACAAAGTTCTCAAGTGGATTAAGTAAGACTGAGGGAAATGTCCTTCAACGTGTTTGCTTAACTCTCAAGCTCCTCTTTGGGGTTCACATTATCTATACAGCATAGGTTGTAAGAAGCAATAACTTTATGTTGTAGGATCTCATGACTGCCCAGGAGGCACAGAAAAATGGGACAGAACAAAGGACCCAGAAATAACGTCAACTGATCTTCAACAAAGACGTTAACAGCACACACGAGATAAGAGTCTCTTCAGTAAGTTAGTGGTGGGAAAACTACGGATCACACTTGGAATAGTACAGTACTTATCTCACCGCAAATGCAAAATCACCTTCAAATAAATGAAAAACTTGAAGGTAACTCCTAAAACTGCAGGACCTTAAAGTGTGGCTAATGGAACAGCACAAGACCCTGGGTTCTTGTATTAAAAACATAAAACTGTAAAACGACAATAAAACAGGAAAAACGCTTCCTGACAGGGTCTTGGCAATGACTTCCTGATGTGCCATAAAAGCGCAGGCAGCAGAAACAAAAGTGGATGAATGGAATTACATGGGCCTAAAATGCGCCACGAAGCAGGAGAAACATCAGCATAGTGAAGAGATAATTTATATAATGGGAGAATATTTGCAAGCCAGGTACCTAATACAGGGACAAAATTTAAATTACATAGTAACACAAATAGCTAAAGCACCTAAACATTGAGCTCAGGATCTGAGTGGACACTTGTCAAAAAAAACACAAATAGACCAGTCAACACGTTAGTGGAGCAAGTGCTCAGTGTTAGGACCACAGGGGAAACAAATTAGCACCACAGGGAGATGCTACCTCACGACTGCTGCAATGACTTTACCATAAAGACCAAAGACGTACCGGCTTGGCAAGAACATGGGAGAGGGAGCCCTGTGCACAGTGTGGATACAAGCAGTGCTGCCGCTGTAGAAAGTAGAATGGAGGTACCTTGAAAACATCAAAACAGAACTACCTTCCAGCCCAGTAATCCTACTTCCGGGTTACACATCTAAAGGGATGAGTTGTGTCACAGAGACAGCCACACTCCCAAGCTCATTGTGACACCACGACCTCACTTTGCTTGACATGCCTAAGCTTCAGAAAACATACAAAAACGACTTCATTTTTACAGCTTCTCCAGTCATTAGGTACTAATGATCCCCATTCCACAGAATTAACAGTGTATACTAAGTTACTACACAAAATAAATTTCAAAACTCTGAACCAATATATTGCACCGTTTCCCATATTTTGAAATATTTTTAAAGCATAGCTTTAAAAATAGCACTTTTAGTAACACTGTATTAATATTTCTGGTCTAAAATTTGAGAAAGCACATACACACTACAGCCCATAATTTCCTTCATAAAATAGCTTTCTTAGGATGCCTAATTTGGGGGGAACAGGCTCTTCTTTACATAAACTTCCAGCTGCATTCACATCTGCACATAACATCACCTGCACACAAGGCAATACTTGGAAACCCATGTAAAACTTCCTGGAGCACAACAAGAATGCTCATAATTACTGAATGAAGTAGCCAGTCATACTTATAGATTTATTTTTATTTTATGTGTATTAGTGTTTTGCATGCATGTATGTATGTGCATCTGTGCATGCAATGGCCACAGAGGCCAGAAATGGACAGTTGTGAGTCACCATGTAGGTGCTGGGAACCAAACCTGGGTCCTCTGCAAGAGCTTCAGTGCTCTTAACCACTGAGCATCTCTCCAGGCTTATCAGTTATGTTTTTAAGAGAGGAGTCTCCCTACGTTGTACAGTTAATTAAGTCCTGGGTGCAAGCACTCTTCCTGCTGGAGCTTTCAAGTAGCTGGGCGGGGCCATAGCTGAGCACCATCTTGCCCAACTTAGACCAGTAATTATAAAACACCTGGTAAATAGCAACATCTGAAATTAAGTTTATTTATAAACACTAGAGGGAGCGCTAATTCAACAGACTTTGGAATTTGGCTTTAAAATTTGATTTTAGCCTTAAAGGCAAAATAAGGCAGTTGTCTGCACTAATAATTTTTTTTTCAAACAAATACAGAGAAAATTGATGAGGAAAAAAAAACCAATTTTCTGGACTATATGACAAAACTTTCTAAACTTCCACTGAAATCAGGTTTTAGTATCCAATTATAATACACACAGCATAGTGTAAGAAGTATGAAGACTGTCCTTGCCCATAAAGGAGACCAGTTATCCAGGTGTGAGTGGCTGAGAGTAAACAGTACTGTATAGGCTAAACTTCAAAGGAAATTCTAGGTGAATCTGAGAAGAGCCATGCTAACCTGAAGCATTAGAGTTTGGTGATTGTTACAAAGGTAACTTGAAAGCTATCACGTAACTGAGAAATAAAAGCGACATGCTGTGCGTCTCACCTGCCTCTGCATACTTTCTTAAGCCAACCAACATCCATAGGAAACTGAAAAGAAAAAAATCTAAGACTTTGAATTTTAGAACAGGCCGTAAAATCCTGCCTGAATCTTCGTAAGAAAAGCATTTTGTGCTAGTTTGTAAAATTTATTCCTACTACATTCATACCATCAACTTTAAATCGTTGAAGTTTTCATAACTGAAATATTTACATACTGCCCTTTGGCAATCCAGAAGTTGCTAGAGTAGGAGAGTCCCACAGAATGGGCAGCATTGAATAACGGTTAGAGGGCTCAGGAAAGTACCCATTAACTGGGTCATTATTCAATGCCAGTAAGGTATTTCTGCCTTTCAAAAGTAAGTACAGAAAAACACATTATAAGTAAGTTTTCACATACCCATTTCACTCAACCTCTCACACAAAGACACACACACACACACAACCCCTGGCTTACAACTCAAACTGAGAACAAACACCAACCTTTGTCTCAATACACCTCATACAAATGCACCAGACTGTGAGCTTACAGTATTCCATTCACATAATGACTTGGATAAATACCTGCTCTCCGTGATTTGTGAATCCCGTTGCAAACTAAGAGTCTCTGTTGTAATTTCCACTTTCCGTACACTTCCAAAGAAGTCAGTTATCAGCACATGTTTAGGATCTCTCTGAAAAAGATCAGTGCGATGTCCAGGGGTAGACACACAGAGGCTTTTGGGACACACTTGAAACTGAAAGAAATAATAATAATAATAA